AAATTGAAGTGTTTGTGTTTATGCCTCTGTAGATTCCTAGAAACTGTAGTTCTTCTGTTCCTTCTAATTGGAGGAAAAAAGCAATTTCTTCATGGATGGATGAATTTCTTAGATATAGTTCTTTCCTTACTTCACAATGAAAGTGTGCAGGTATATGGCACACAGGGTATGGAAGGGGACTTTGGAGTCGTGATCTTGGATTTGACTGTAGCTCTGTCATTGTGCTCTCAGTGACTTTGCGTAACTTAACCTCTGACTTTGTTTCTCATCTGTAAACTAGATATGCTGATACCTGCTCTGTGTAGTAGCTGGGAGGACTCAAGGTGATAATGCTTGTAAAGTGCCGTAGTCCCTGGCTCCTACAGGGTGCTAAAGCACAGCGATGGTTGAGGAGTTGAGTGAGGTGATGGGTGGCAGTACCCTGGGAGCAGCCTGCCATCACAGCTTGATTTGTGTTTGCCAGGGAGCCCGGGGCCAGAGTGGGGCTGTAATCTGTCATGGAGTCCAGGAGCCCAAATGCCCAGGATGGTCCCCAGGTGCCGGGGTCACAAGGGGTCCTGGGTTCTCTATCCGCTGGGCTAACAGGCAGCCAGTAGATGCTGTTTCAGTCCCAGGATAGTTCTTGTAGCTGGGAAAACACCATGAGTGCCAGTCGGGTGCTCTTTGATCACGTGCGAGTGAGCCCCCCAAAGCTGCGCAGGACGTCCAGGAAGAGTCTCAGAGCTAGCCTGTCTGAGCCCTGCGGTGGGGATTTCTGGTGCGACTGGGGCAGCAGCTTCTGCCCAGAGTGTGCGTAAGTGGGCAAAGGATGGACTGCAAGGTGCATCCCAGTCTAGACATCTTATCCTGCGTGTCCTGGGACCTGCTGATACGCAGTCTACATGCCACCAGACAGCGGAGGGATTCTGCAACCTGAAGGCTTAGAATACACACATGAAGTCTGACTGGAGCCTTGCGTTGTTCGCTGGTAACTTCAGCGGGTGAGGAATTGTGGGCTGGCTTAGAGGTGGCTGCGATTATCACCATGTGCCTTTCTGCGTCCCCAGAACTTGTGGCTATTTGGGGGAAGAGCTGCAGTTCTGCTGTCTAACTTCTGCCAAACACCCCCTGGCACCTCTTACGACTTTACATACTTGCCATCCTAGACAGGGAAGCTCAGAAAGCAGTCTGTTGCATCCAATATTTAAATAAACAAAAACAAAAAAAAGTAATGCCACCAGAAATGTTTATTATGCAAATAATCAGAATAAGGCAAAGACCACTTTAATTAGCTTGCTCTTGGTTCAATATTTTGGTTAAATGAAATTGATTATATTTACATTTTCTTTGTAGTTTTAAAAGTACATCTAAACATAAACAAAGGACCAAAAGAAAGAAAATCACACTATTTTTAGGTCCCTGGTACCACTGATATGAATCATGATATTTGCTCTAAGACAATCTAATCTTTCTGGAAAGCAGACTAGATGTGTGTAACCAACACTATAAAATTATTCATAGCTTGTCTTACTACTGGCCGGTCCATTTTAGGACTCTGTCTCAAGGAAATATCTTCTCTCCCAGAATAAAGGAACTAAAAGTGTGCTTTGCACGGAGAACTTTTTCTCACTCTTTGTGACTGGAAATTTATAATCAGCTGAAATGTAAGCCTGAGAGGGGCGTGGCCAGGAAGGCTGGTGGGTGACACAGGCCTGCAGTGTAGCCCTGGGAAGCCATGTGCCTGTGCTGTCCTCTGCAGAGAGGGTGTCAGGGGAGTAAAGGGCCCTGCCCAGGTGGCGTGTGCACCCCGGATGGCGTGTGCTCCCCGGATGGCGTGTGCACCCCAGATGGCGTGTGCTCCCCGGATGGCGTGTGCTCCCCGGATGGAGTGTGAACTGTGATCATAACCAAGAGAGTTCTAGTGCTCTGTACCCCAGCAGTGTCAGGGAGAGTTCCTGCAGGACATTGTTCATCATCTCCCACACCTGGAAACGTAGGTTCCTGACCGGCTTCACACCTGGGCCCCTAGTGCCAGAGGGCTGTGTGTGTCTTTATCAACTCAGAATGTAGAACAATGTAAACAGGGTCAGTGTTTGTTCACTGACTTATTTTTTTGTTTCCCTATAAAGTTGCTTGAATTTATATAGAAATAAAATAGTTTTGATCATAGCAGTAGTTCTTTTTTAGGCTCTCGAATACATGTTCACGTGCTGTTTAGAAAAACAAGTGGCACATTGACAGGCTTCCGAATGGCTGTGCATCTGACATTGTCTCAGCTGAATATGAATAACTTGGATTTTTTTATTAAAAATTGCAGACTTATTTTTGAGATTCCTGAAGTTCCTCGATTATAAAAGTCCCTAATTCTGGATAGAATGAGGATTTTATGTAAGCTAGGGTTTTAAAATGAGCGTTTTTAATTGGTAGAAAATAATGTATGCGTGTGTGTCCAGATATCTTTGTGCTGAAGCTTAAATAATATAGATGAGCTTTCATTGGTAAATGTTCTAATCTAGAGAATCGCAGGAAGGTTGGTTGTGCATGTGTTTAATACTGACATGGGCATTTGACTGCCCACATGTATACACTCAAATACATGTGCATGTTCATATATGTGTACATATTCTTTCATATCGCTTCTCCTTGTCCGATTTGGCACCTTGCAAAACTAATGCCAAAATACAGCGTTATTTGGCTTTCAGAACTTAGCTTCCGGAAAGATGACATTTACAATTATTCATTCTTTTTTCTGGAGGCAGCACAATATTCCTGATAAGAGTCAGGTCGGTTGAAGTGGCTTAGTCCCATGAATACAGAACTCTTCTTGTGGGATTGTCTGTTTTTGTGGTCACAGACTGGTGGCTGATAGATGATTTATTTCTCCTACCTTTGGCATTCATTTTTGAAGAAAAATCCTAGAACAAATAGTGACTCACTCCACAGATTTCTTTCTTTCCACCCTGGAGGGCAGCATTGGCCCCTGTAGCTTTCCACTTCTCTGTCCTGGATCATCAGCTAGTTCCATGGGAAAGGCAAAGAAGACAACACGTGTCCTTGCCCTAAGAGGGGAGATCAAGTGTATGTACAGATAAACACTATAGAAAAAGGTAAAAATGAAGTGCATCAGAAACACAGCAGTTTGGCGATGGTTCAGACCTCTCTTGGGTAATTGCAGTGGACACCTTCTTGGTCTTTCTGCTAATAAAATGAATGGGAAAATCTTTCATATGTGTATGATATTAAGTAGGGAAATAGAGAACCACTTATGTAAAAGTCTGAAAAACACTACTCTAATGCTTTCCTCCAGTCACATGTGGGGTTTAGACCCCACTATCTCATTTTGTCTGTTCTAAAAGATGTCTAATGTGGTCCTGACTGCACGCAGCTGTCAGTCTTTCTAGTACAACTTGGATTCATCCCTGGCTTACGCCCTTTCAGCTGTGAGACAGAATCCTCTCACCCCTCTGTGTACCATTCAGGCCTTGAGAATCTGGCACTGCAACACATCCATCACTGGCTACCACGAGTTGCAATGTGCCCCCTACCACCAGCCACACCGTACCACGCGTTGCTTTTGCATTTGGAATTTGAACAAAATCTAGCTTAATAACTCAGATGTGCCCTCTGGGACTGTACTGCTATCATTATTTAAGAAGTCTAAGAACTGTAGTGAAGAATGCTTTGTAAATCAGCTTTACATACAGTTTTAAAAATATTCATTTATACAAACACATAAAAATGTAGTGGTTATTCGGCATTCATTGAAGTGTTTGTTGTATGTTCTGTTATGTCCCTTGTATGGAAAGACCAAGCAAAGTTTTATTAGCTTTCTCTAGGAAGGCTTTCTAGAGAGGACATGTGTATTAGTTCTATGTTGCTGTGTAAGCAATTACTTCCAAATTTTAGCAGCTTAAAACAACAAATTCTTACTATTTTATGCATTTTCTGAGGATCAGGAATCCAGGTAGAGCTTAGCTGGGTGGTTCTGGCTCTGAGGCTCTCAGGAGGCTGCAAACTGTCAGCTGGAGCTGTAGTCCTCTAAAGCTTGACTGGGAAGGCCTTGCCTCTAAGCTCACTCACGTGGTTGCTGGCACACTCGCTTCCTCTTGGCTGTTGGCATGAGGCCTCAGTGACTCACTGCATAGACCACGTTGGCTGCCTGAGTGTCCTCACAACGTGGCAGCTCTCTTCCCCAGAATGAGAGATTTGAGAAAGGGAGAGCCCAAGATAGAAATAACATTCTTTTTCTTACCTGATTTCAAAAATGACAGGCTGTTACTTCTGCCATATCCTTGTGGGTACACAGATCAACCCTGGTACTGCATGGGAGGGGACTACACCAGGGTAAGTCTTGGAGGCTGGCTGCCATGCCTGTGGGATTTTCAAGGAAGTAATGGCTATGAATTGAAATATAGTCATTGGAAAGGGAATCTGAGATTAAAAGAGCACAATTATACTGAACATGTTTTTCTTTTAACCAAGACTCCTTTCCTTTTAATTTTCACTTCTTTATACCAACTCCTATGGACCACATCATGAAATACACAGGCATCTGCCTGTAGCAGATATCTCCTCCTCGGTAGACAGGGAATCTCAAAGGACTTACAATTTTTTTTTTTTTAACAAGAGGCCAGTGTTATTAATAAAGGCTTACAAGCTTACTGTCTCATTTCTTTTAAACTTGAGGTGTTTGGGTATATTTATATACACTTATTTTCTGAGTGTATATATATATAAAGCTTGATATTATTGGAATCATTCTGAAGAAATAAAAATTGCGAGAAAAACTTGGTGAGTCAGGGAATTGAATTTTCTGGATGCTGCAGTCTCCAAGGGAGCCCTTCTAGATTAGTTCTCTAATTACTTGCTCCGTGAGAACCGTCTCCTGACTTCAAAGTGCAGCTAATTCAGTCTGGTGTGATTGGTATGACTGTTGGTTTGTGAATGATTGGGGGTGGGGCCCAGGGGCCCTTTGACTAATGTGACTTTGGTGTCCCATCAAACGTCTTTGTCATCCTCAGGCAGGTTCCAGCGGCAGCCCGGGGCAGAGAGTGTGTGTCATCGATGAGATTGGGAAAATGGAGCTCTTCAGTCAGCCTTTCATCCAGGCTGTTCGTCAGACACTGTCCACCCCTGGGACTATAATTCTGGGCACAATCCCAGTCCCTAAAGGAAAACCGCTGGCCCTTGTGGAAGAAATAAGAAACAGAAGTGATGTGAAGGTGTTTAATGTGAGTACAACCAGTTCTCTGTACCTGTGGAAATGGATTTGATGATGTGAAACAGCAGACAGCTCTAACATATGTATCTTTGGCTTTGAATTACCATTTTCCCCCTCCCATGCTGGAATATGGGTGAGGCTAATTTTATAGAAATGTATAGAACTTAAGCTAGACCTCTATTTGATGAAAAGACAAACTCACTGGTAGGGGAGCCACCAGCAACCTCAGCTGGTCTGGCTGCTTCCCTGTCTCCCGCCAGATGCCGGGACCTCTCTGGCATTGGAACCACTTGATCCAAGGTGCTTGTTCTAAGCATATTTCTTCTCAAATTGATAGGTCAGGTTGGGCTATAGAGGCAAATATGTACAGTTTTGTTTTAAAGGTTTCCCTTTGAAACTGACCTACTTCTGCTGGTGGGGAAAGGCGGCTGTGGCTCCAGTTGGAAGCCTGGCTTCCCGATGCCGCAGGGCAGCACTGACCGGTCGCACTGCCCACGGGATGCAGATGTGCTGTCTGCATTGTTCAGTACAGTAGCCATAGCCACGTGTGCCTATTCATGTTTAAATTAATTAAATAAAATTGAAAATTGAGTTTCTTAGTCACACCAGCCACATTTCAGGCACTCAGTAGCCACATGTGGCTGCTGTGTTAGATGGCACAGCTGTAGAGTCTGCTGCTCAAGGTGAAGTTTGCAGGCCGGCAGCAGGAGCAGCTGATGTGCACATATTTGGGCCTTGCCATGACCTAAGGACTCCAGCTCTCTGGGGATGGGCCCCATGATCTCTGTTGAAGCAAGGTCTTAGGGGGGGGTGGGGGGGTTCTTAGGCCTCCTACAGTTTGAGAGGCACTGCTATAGACCACATGTCAGAGATAAGGGTTTGGAGCATGTTAACCAGTGGCAGTGTCTGAGACACTTACAAGGACTCTTGTGGCATTGCTGGCACTTTGCCTAAATCCTTGCCTTTCTCTCACCATCGTCTTTTTGTTTCCTTCTCAGTCATGTATTGTCTTGCCCATTCCACCTTTGTCAGTGATAGCCATGCTCTTGGCTGAGCTCTGTTCCTACCCCTCACTCCCTACCCCTCAGTTTAAGAGATTCCTGGCCTTGTAAGTGACAAGTGAATAGGTCAGGCAAGCAGGGCCACTCTTGTCAGAGAGAGTAGAGAGTGAGTACCCATGAGCACCTTACATCACTGATCATTTTAATCACTGATTGAAATGTCACCATGGCCCACTGGCCCCTAGTAGGACATCCACATGTTGCCACCAAAGTATCCTGGGTTACGCCATCCAGACTTGGAAAAATTTGTGCATTCTTTCATTTATTTATTCATTCAGTCTTCTGCAAATACTGATTGAACATCTGTGTGCTAGGCATCATTCTAAATCTTGGGGATACTGTGGTAAATAAAACTGACTGAGTTCTTGCTGTCAAGGAGCTTGCATTCTAGTGAAAGAGCTGGATACCAAAAATGTCAGACAAACTAAGCAATTTCAGATACTGATAAAGGCAAAGAAAAGAAACCAGGGCAGTGTGGGAGTTGGGGGCAGGAGTAGACAGAGGGGTCAAGGAAGGGTCTCTCCAAAGAAGTGACATTACAACTGAGACCTAACAGCCCTGAAAGGAGTGACAGCCTTGAGAAGTCCATGGAGCTCTTGTTTTTAGAGTTTTGTGTTGCCCTCTCTGACTCTTGCTTTACATGGCTTCCACATTAGAATTTTTGTTTGTAATTATAGAGTTTCTGTGGAAGTTGAGGCAATGAATGGTGAAGGATCATGGAGGAAAATTAGCTTTCAGATCAGATAGCTTCCAGGCTGGAAGACTGGGTAGTTGTTGGTATTAAACTCCGGGGGTCGGCTATCTCTGCACGCTCGTAGAATCTAATAGTCTTAAGCAGGGATTGAGGGGAGTTGACTGTTATGTCCACAAATAAACATATCTTAAGTTAATACCACATTTCCTCCTCTAAGACTGGAAATTATTCACCAGGCAAGATAATCATTGCTCCTAATGATCTGTAAATAAAGTGATTAGCTTTGAGTTAATTATGTAAGAGATAGGGGCTGACATATGCTGTTATTTTTGTGCTGCTTTGGGATTTGTGTGGTCCTTTGTTCCTGGTTTATAAATGAAGAACTTCATTTTCTTTATCTGCGTACTTAAGGGTTAGTTAGATGTAGTCTTGGAGTAAGGAGAGATGTCCAAAGGAAGTGGTTCTTGGGTAGGAGTATTTCAGGTAAGGGTTAATTAAGCTATATAAAGGGGTGGAGAACAGCCTTCTCTTATTACCAGGTGAGAATGCCTAGTGTGAATATAGGACAGAACTTACGATATGGGGGAAGTAAGTATACCACACAAAGTTTTGTTCTTCACAAAGTGTTTGGTGCACAGAGTATTACTTTTCAAAAAAATACCTGAGAACACTGCCAGTTCTAGACAAGATGGAATAGACACACTTCTCCCTATTTTTCCTACTAATTACAGCCCCCAAACCTTGGATGTTACATATAAAATAAGCATAAGAAGACCTAAAAGGTGGAGAGAAAAAGGCAGACTGGCTAGGAACCTCAGGACCCAAGGAGTAACACCACAGACACAATTAAAAATCACTTGTCATACTGAGAACCAGGAATATCTAAATTAGAATGAGAAAAGACAGTCAGTATATCTCAACAGCAAGACAATGCACATGTTTGACTTACAGGGCAAGTATTTTAAAGCAGCTATCATTAAAATTCTTCAGTGATCAATCACTTAGCAGCATAGAGATGACAGAAGAAAGAATCTGAACTTGAATGTAGAATAGTAGAAATTACCCAAGAAAGAACAGACTTAAAAAAAAGAGAAAGAAACAGAGCCTGAGGGACCTGTGGTAACAAAAGATCTACCATTCATGTCATTAGAATGCTGGGGGGGGGGTGTGGGGAGGAAGTATGTGGAGCCAAAAAAATGTGTGGAGAAATAATGGCTGCACTACAGTTTTAATAAACCCCACGAGGATAAACCCAAAGAAATCCATGCCAAGACATCACAGTCAGACTTCTGAAAATTAAAGACAAAGTCTTGAAAGCAGTGAAAAAAAAAACTACACCTTCTCCGTGGGGTAAAAAGAATATAAGTGACAGCAGATTTCTCATCAGAAGCCATGGAGGCCAGAAGGAAGTGGTACATTTTTCAAGTGTTGAAAGAAAAGAACTGTCAACCCATAATTCTATATCCAGTGAAATTATCCCTCAGGAATGAGAGGAGAATTAAGACATTCACATACAAAGGAAAATTAAGAGAATTTGTCTTGAGCAGACTTACTCTAATATAATGGCTAAAAGAAGTCCTCTAATGAGAAAGGATATAATAAAAGAAGGAGTCCTGGAACATCGGGAAGGAAGGAAGAACAATGGAAAGAATAAAGCTATGGGTGAATACAGTAGGCTTTTCTTCTCCTTTTGCATTTTTAAAAATTATGTTTGACAGTTGAAGCAAAAATTATAACAGTCTCTTATGTGTTAAAGAAAAAAAAAAGAATGAACAGTACCTGAGGAGGAAAATAAAAGCCCCATTGACAGAATCTTTGGTACCTCCTATTCTTTAGTAAAGTATCCCTACAAGAAATTGGCTATGGAATATTCTCATTCATCTATTCAGTAAATACTGAGCATCCACTATGTGTCAGGTACTGCTTTATTCATGGGAGACTCAGCAGTGAACAAAACTCTGTGCTGCCATGGAGTGGGAGGAGACCTGCTAAAGAAGCCCATGTGTAATGTGGCAGTAGAGTGCTGTGGAGAAAGGAAAGAAGGTTAGGGTGGACAAGGGTGGCTGAGGGGGAGAGGCTTATTATATAGGGTGGTCAGGGGAGGTCTCTCTGATAAAGTGCTGTTGCACACAGGCCTGAAGGTAATAAGAGTATGAGCCTAATGGACATCTGGGAGAAGAGCGATGTTTTAGTCCATATGATGCTGCTATAACAGAATACCTGAGACTGAGTAATGTATAAGAAATGTAAATTTATTTCTTCCAATTCTGGAGACAGGGAAATCTAAAGTTGAGAGGCCTGTATCAGATAAGGGCCTTCTTACTGCATCATCCCTTGGCAGAAGACAGAAAAACAAGAGGGCAGAAACGAGAGAGAACGGTAGGGGGCTGAATTCATCCTTTTATCTGGAATCCACTCCTGCAATAACTAACCCACTCCTGGCCATGATGGCATTAATCCATTCATGAGGGCAGAGTCCTCATGACCTAATCACCCGTTAAACATCTCACCTCTCAACACTGTTGCATCTGGTGCTAAGTTTTTAATGCATAAACTTTGGAGGACACATTCAAACCATAGCAAGTGACTTAACTGTTTCTTCCATAATTTGTTTGTTTTTAAGAACTCCAAGAGGCTATTACCATCGTATCCCATAGAGCTTTTATGAGAGTATGTCTTTGATTTTGCTGCTTTCTAGTTAATGTCATAACATCAATGATGTTATGGCAACTTTAGATCTTTTTGAAGCATACAGCCACATAGTATGATTAAGCCTGGCGTTTAGACCGTGGGATGTACATGTTCTTGACAGCAGTGTGTAGCTGTTATCTGGTTTTGCAAGCTGCTTGCATGCTACCTCCCTGTCTCCTGACTTATTTAATATGATCAATGATTATACACTCTGCTCAGTCTATTCTGTCCCCTCCCCCTCCTTGTGGGTCTTTTTAACAAGAATCTGAGTTGGGGATATCATAAGTTTGTCTTTCCATCTTGGTTGGCCTAGGTATTGTGAGAGAGCACGTCACTTATCTGCTAGACACACACACATACAGTACCAAGTCCTGCTTATATTCTGACTTTAAGGATTGTCTTCTGGGTCAATAGAAGGATAGTCCTGGTAATTTAGAAACTTCCACCACGTTGCAGGTTTGGTATTGACAGTAGCCTTCTTAAAGGTTATGTTGCTCTTTCAGAAGTTCGCTCTAATTCTTTCTCTCATTCTTCCAGGGTTTACTGCTCTCCAGATATAACCACTGACAATTGTTTTTGTTTTTAACATTTCAGTATTTCATTATTTGAGGCTAATTGTGAAAAAACATTTAATAATAATAATGTTGTAGAGACAAGAAATGGAGGTCTTTGTTGGTTCAGTATCACTGGAAAGAGCTGGGTGTGCTTTTTTCATAGTTTTCTAATTAACAACATGAAAAAAAATTTTTTGTTTTTATACCTGCTAGTAACTTCTCTCAAAAAGTTAAGAGTTTGGTCATCTTAATGGCATTTAGAAGGCATATTTCATTCTATTTCCTTTGAAATAACTCCTAGATGGGAATGCTGGAAAACATTGCCTGTTGAGGGGGCAGAAGAGAGGCCTGGAGCGTGTGGGGCATTTATATGGAATACTAAGGTGGCTGCCAGTCATCGAGCTCCTTGTGCTAGATGCTGTGCTAGTACAGCCAGTGTATTAGTACATGTAGACTTCATGGCAACCTCATGAGCTAATAAGCACCATAATCTCCATTTCATATATGAGACGGTTGAGGCATAGAGAGGTAATATAACTTGTCCAAGGTCATTCGGTTAGTAGTTAGTAGAGAGAGGACTTAGACTTTGGTCTGGCTGATTCTAAAGCCTGAGCATGAGCATAATCCTGCTGTATTGTTGCCTTCATTCACAGGAATTATTCAGGTGATTCTGTAATAAAAGCTCAGATTCTTAGAAATTATTTGGTTTTCTACCTTATAAAAATGTTAATATAACTAAAATCTATTTAAAATTCTGAATTCAGAAACATCTGAACTTGCTTTTTCCATAAAAAAAAGTTTTTTTTAGTTTTAATTTGTGGATTTCAGGATCATGAGAATAGTGGGTACAAGGTCTCAACTTCTCTTCGATTTGGTTCACCAAGCATGACATAAACTATTTTCATCTCACCAGGAATTTGATGCTGTCCTCTGTGCCCTTGCACTTCTGTTCTGTAAGTGCAGAGTCAGAGTTGGGAGCTCATCTGCCACTTCTAGATTAGAGGTCAATAGGTAGGCTTAATCAGGAAGAAGTAGACTTCCTGAACAGACCAATATCAAGTACCAAAATTGAAGCAGCAATAAAAAACCTTCCTTAAAAAGAAAAGTCCTGGACCAGATGGTTTCACACCCGGATTTTACCAGCCCTACAAAGAAGAACTGGTGCCTGTCTTGCAGAAATTATTCCACAACATCGAGAAGGAAGGAATCCTCCCCAACATGTTTTATGAAGCCAACATCACCCTGATAACCAAACCCAGGAAAGGATGCAACAAAAAAGAAAACTACAGACCAATATTCCTTATTAAGTATAGATGCAAAAATTCTCAACAAAATCCTAGCAAACTGAATTCAAGTGCTTATCAAAAAAATAATCCATCACAACCAAGTAGGCTTCACAGAGATGCAGGAATGGTTCAACATATGCAAATCTATAAATGTAATTGACCACATAAATAGAAGCAAAAACCAAAACCATATGATCCTCTCAATAGATGCAGAAAAAGCATTTGACAAAATTTAGCACCCTTTTATGATAAGAAAGCTTAAGAAAATAGGCATAGATGGGACTTACCTAAAAATGATAGAAGCCAATAATCAGTTCTGAACTGATTATTGTATTGTATATGACAAACCCACAGCCAACATCATACTGAACAGGGAAAAATTGAAAGCATGTCTTTATCTGCCGCACCTTGCCCAGGAGTGTGTGTTGAGGGGATGGGTTGTGTGGGGTCAGCCAGGGAGTCACGGTGATGGGAGAGGAGGCAGCCCTGCTGTCGCCCTGGGTACTCTTTGTAACTGTGAGTAAGTGAAAGAAAGAAAAATAAAAAGCAGATTGTCAGGTGAAGCTTGGGGGACACGGCCTGGCATCAGGGGCTTGAATAACAGTATGTCCCACGGCTCCTTCACTTCTCTGAGCTGTCACTTCCTCATCTTCCAAATGCGCCATTGACTGAGGTCAGAAGCCCTTGCAACACTCAGATTCTCTAAATTCATGGAGAGATGAGTAGATTACTGAGCACCCCAGGATTCTGGGCACTCTCCTGGGCCTGGCTGGGCTGTGGGTTCTCCTCACTCAGTTCCTTCTGTGCAGGCCAGGTGTGCTCAGGGGCCCTGTCCCGTCTGCGTTCCCATCCTGCATCCCATCACGCCTTGCAGGACTCAGGTCACAGTCTTCCTGCGGTTGAAATCTATCTACCACCCAAACCCACTTTCACTTTTCCTGCTGTCACTTTGCAGAAGCCGATGGTGGGGCTCCGTGATACCTGTCCTGTCTCGAGGGCTGCTGAAGAGCTGGGCTTGCTCCCTGGGTCACAAAACACACCTACCCTCTCCCAGCCCTCTCGCCTTTCCTTCTAAAAAGTTACTTATCGCAAGGCTCCAGGAAAGAAAAGGAGCTCTGAAGCCTGCTCTCTTGCTTCTTCCCACAGGTCACCAAAGAAAACAGAAACCACCTCCTGCCAGATATCGTGACAAGCGTGCAGAGCAGCAGGAGGTGAAGACCACGACCATGTGCGTTCCTGCCTTCTGCACGTAGAGAAGTGCCCCGGTTCAGGAGGAGCCTGGCCAGAGCTTTGTGCCTGTGGGGTTACGAAACCTTGTGGGCTTTTCCAGAGAAAGCTTGACAGCTGTTTCTTGTAAAGTGTTTAAAGATCAAACTGGCCTTAATGTTGGATTGACTGTGCAAGATTAACAATCCGTTGTGGGTTATTTATACTTAAAGATTTCTGTTTATTTCCTCTTGCAGTCTTGCACATGATTTGGGTCAATTATGAGATGAGAAATTGTTTTCAGAGTATCAGAAGGAATTTGCCCCCATTGAAGTTTATAAATGTGTTCGGGGGAGGGAGAGAAAGGAGTTCACTACCTAATCAATTTGGCATGTCATGAAAACTAAATTCCTTTCCAGGTGTAGCTTTTGTCTCATGCAACTTGAAGTGATAAGTTATTTGATTTTTAAAAATTGTTATTTCAAAAGAAAACCATTTTAGTTCCTGCCTCCACCCAATCTCTTATTCTTTGCTTATTGCTAATAAATATATAGAAATTCTGATGGTTACAGACATGAGTCCTTATGTGGGGAAATACACAGTCTCGAGAAATGTTGGTACCATCTGCTGTTCAGCAGGCCAGACGACGAGAGCTCGGGCTGTGGCTGAGTTAACTTGGGCACAGTTTTGAAGCTTTCTGTGCCTAGTTTCTTTTCTAGGAAAAGGGGGATATGACTGTCATCTAAGGAGAGTGATGCTACGCCATGAAGGAAACCATCAACTTTTCCAAGCAACACTGTGGAGGGTGGGTTTATCAGGAGTAATTGTGCGGCAAGGTACAGTTCAGCTCACAGCAGGGCACTGTAGAAAAAGTTGGAAAACAGAAAAGACCGCCGAAACTCTAGAATTCATAAAGCACAAAAACTTCCCTCCAAGCGGTTGATGCTATTTGAGTGATAAAGCAGCTTAGTGTTTTTAGGTCATTTTTGATAAAGATCTATGAATGTCCAGGATTTTTTAGCGACTGGCGTTAGCTACAAACCCACTGGCATAAATGGCGTGTCCCTCTCTAGCCGTGGACAGGTCGGGCGTGTGCCGGTGAGGCTGTGAGCTGGGCACTGGGGTGCAGGGACAGCGCAGGAAGGGATCGTACCAACACAAGGGTGTGTGTGGTCCAGGGTAGGCTCTTGCGTCAGTCCTTTCCTTGGCACTTTCTTCCAAGATGGCTTTCTGAAGCTTCACCTGGACTTGCCAAGCCCCGGAGGGACCACAACAGGAAGGCCTAATAGATTATGAACTAATCCCTCAAAAAGGGCGACTTGCATGGTCGGAGGGAAGTGGGCATCTCCTTCCACTGTCCCTGCCCTGGCCGAGTGACTAGCTCCTGACATCTGGCAGGTGGGCTGTGACTTCCAGCCCAATCACTGGAACAGGAGTGACACTGAGCACAGGGGTGGACTGCGTGCCTCAGTGGGCCTAGATGGCCACTGCCTCTGAGGCAGGTGGAGGCGTCCCACAATGGCCTGGGAACCTGACGCTCGTCATCAATCTGTGAACACAGCACAGCCCTCAGGAACAAGGAGCAGGCTGGGGGGACATTGACAGGTGCCCGAGGACAGGCTCAGCACCGGGGCCTGGTGGGGTGGTCTGCCCCAGCTGAAGTGGGACCCCATCAAGGTGGAGCCTTTTCTGCCGCCTGTGGGAGGGTGGCCTGTGTCTCCAGGGGTCCCTCATGCACCAGAAAAACGGAGGGGCGTGTTCTCTCCGCCGCTTGTCCTGAGCTCAGCGCTTCAGTGGTGACTATTCAGTAGACTTTTACTTTGTCTTAAATTAGACGAAAAGCTGGTGAAATTTACTTCAAAGAAGGTAAAATATAATAGTTTCAGGGGCTTATTGTGGAAGCCAGTCGTGCTGATAGAGGGTAGGAGTGTCGCTGGCCCCTTGAAAGTATCTACTGTGCACAGACTGGGTGGCCCCTGGCACCGGGCCTGCCGGAGTTTTTGCACTTTAATGGCAAAGAGACAAGCTTGGAGAGTTGAAGTGGGTGTTCAAAAGCACAGTGCTGGCAGTGGCTGGGATTTAAGTCTGTGGCCGAGCAGTCGGCTTCTACATGCATAGAAGCCACTACCATGGTGCTGGTTTTTGAGAAAAGAAAAAAGCTTCATTGCGAGTTGACTGTCAAGGAAGAAGCAATGGTGAACTCTCCCCCTGAGCTGGGGTCTGGGGGCGGGTTTTATAGGCAGAGAGAAACCACGGGGGGGGGGGGATGAAAATGCAGCCGGGCGTGATCTGATCGGCGCATGCAAAGAGTTGGTGTTGGGTCCTTGGCTCTTAAGTCCGTACTGCAACAAAACAGGGCACCCTCCCTTCCTAATTCAGTCTCTGTTCCTCGGGTCTCCATCTGAGCACATAGGTTTTGCCTGCGGTTGACATTTGTTCCGGCCAGCTCCAGGGTCACCAGTCGGGCACATGTGGTTCATCTGGGCATGCTCGGGTAGCTCCCCAGATGTAGTGGCCGAAAGAAACATCATGTTGTTACATTTTGTGAACTGATGAGGTTGAACCAGATTGGACTGGTTCTCCGATGACACATCTGTGTGACTCTAAAGCCCTTGCTCTTTCCATCACTCCCTGCTTTGTCCTAGTTTAGGCTTTGTCATTTTTAGTGTATCATGTATCCCCGGACTTGACATTTAGCTGTGATAAACTGTAGCTGCCGTGAATCCAAGAAGCGTTTAGCATCTCCTGTGGCAGGGGCCTTAACCGATTATTGTATTAGAATAATCTGAGAGCATGTATGAAGATATCCAATGCAATCCCTGTTTAATGAAGGAATAAGATGATTTCACTAATAACTAGAACTCAGGGCCAAACGTGCACAGCCTGTAGCAACAGCATCCTGCTGGGGTTTAAGGGGAGAAAAGATGTGGTGGGAGAACACCACGTGCGGTCCATCTACTCACTAGGCGCAGCCAGGACCAGAGGAGCAGAGCTGAGCACCTGCCTCCCTATTGATGCCACAACTGAGATGAGCAACTGGCAGTGCGTGGTGGCAGGGGATGGCAAGGGCAGGTTGATGTCAGGAATTTTCTTCTACCCAAGTTGGAAATCCCAACTATTCTGACAAATCAAGCAACCAACATGTTTGGATATGAGTCCCAACCTAAGGAGTTCCTTTTTATAAACACAAAATTAACGTGTGTGTTGCTTGTGTGAATAATTTTAGCTAGAGTAACAAAGTTGTGTGAGATGAAGCAAATTCTGATGTAGAGAATGATTTAGTAAATCATTCTTCCCTCTTCTCCCTTAGTAGATCATACCATCAGCCACTTAGCTTGGAATAGTTTAAAATTTTTTTACTCCTTACTCCTGAATGTAAGCACATGCAGGGAGGTGGACACATCTTTAAAATGTAGATAGAGTGTCATCTCTCCGACTATCATTGCTGCCAGGTAGGGAGGGGTTCGCAGGAGAGTGCAAGTTCAGTCACTCAGTTCCCAGCCTCAAGTCTTCAAGGGGGCAGAATGATGGTGACCCAGAAAATGTGGACCGGCCTCCCCTCTCTTCCTGTCTCAGAGTTCATAGAAAGTCGTGTCTGGAAGAACTGCACCTGTGTGTGTGCACATGGCAGATGCTTGTGTAGCATAGCGACTTGGGACAAAACAGTAGTGAGATGGAGGCGGCGTGAGAGGAGAGGGCTCAGTAAACAGGCATCGCATTGCACATTTTATAGGCAAAGGGGAGTTGAAGCATGGAATGATTTTAGAAAATACTTGCCAGGCACAGATGGTTTCCCTGCACAGTGCAGAATTTAGAATCAATAATGCCAAATTAGCCACACGATATATATAAAACCAAGCGCTACAGTTTTTACGTTATCTTTAGAGAAGAAACTATTTTGTTCAGTGTCCAAATGCAGAAAATAACTCTTCAGCTATATGCTGGCAGAACATTTGAACAACTGTGGCAAGAAATGTCAACTCAGGAATGCCTTCTTTAAACGGGGGCTCATAATACGACATTTTGCAGGGAATGCGTCCTGATAAACAGCTGACTGGATGAAGGACCAGGTTAACAAGCTCATGAATCACAAATAAGCTGTGTACCGCAATGAAAAAGGACAAAAGCGTGGCTGTGTTGTTGATGTTGGCTAAACAGCCACCAAGAATCCCAGGGTGACTCCAACACACCCATCTTTCCTCTTGTGGGTACATACACCTCAGTGTGCACATTCAAGACCACTGTACTCTCATAGTGCAAAGCAGGACCGCATTCGATCTGGTATCTGAGAAATGTCTTACCTGTTGTAGATAGACTCTGTAAATTTCCTCCTCCCTCCACCTGTCGGGTTTGAGATCGTGTCGTGTTCCCTGGTTCCTGGTTCCCAGTACTGAAGAGTGGATACAGGTAGGAGTGGATGGAGTGAATGAGCAAGCCAAACAGCAAGATTTATTAAAGCACAGCATGTTCCGGAGTGGGATGGGTCTATCTCCCCAGGGTGGAGAAGACCCTGGGTTTTTAACACATTTCTACTTTTATGTCTATATCTTATAGTGGGCGGAATATTCATTTTGATTCAGGGAAGAGAGGTGGAGATTTCCTGGAACCAGGGACGCTCCCTTAACTTGTCATTATAGGGGCAGCCACTTCCAGGGGCTGCCATGACTTTAGGAAACTGTCATGGCGCTGGTGGGTGTGATTTTTACTGTGCTAATGAGGGTAGTTCACCTAAGGCCAGCTCACAGGGCGCATGCTCCAAACTTGGCTGTTTCTGCTGTTGGGCCATCTTTTCGGTTTGGGGGTTTCTTACCCTCCTCTGATTGGCCAGCAACAGTATCTCTACCCAATCTCCCTTGCCTCGCCTCCACACCTGTTTCCCCTCCCTCCTGGTCCCTACCTAACACGCCCCCTAAAAGGTTCCACCAAGAACCGGTGAACTAGGACAAGTGCTTTATTCCACAGGTGAAGCGGCAGCTCACGAGCTTCCCTAGTGGAACGGAGATGTAGGCACACCCGGGGTCCCCTCGCCCTCCCGTTCGCACTGCCATTCCTCCCCAGGTTGGCTGTCCAGCTCTTTCAGCACATTTCCCTTCCTGTGCAGTGTGGTGGTTCTCCGTGTTTCCTACTCCTGGATGCCCACGGAGTGGCCAGTTGTACTCCAGGCTGACCACTGCCAGGCGCTTGGCGTTTTTCTTACTGAACTCCAGGAATCTCCCCACGTGGGAGGCCACACTCGCAGCTCCAGGCCTGGAGTGTAGTCCTTAGGGCCTGGCTGTAAAGTTGCCCAAGAGGATTTCAGGAGCTGCCGGCCAAGTGTGGTTTGGCCAACTTAGAGAACTGCAGCGAGGTTCTATCAGCTCCTCATCAGATGAACAACTGCATTTAAATCAAAGTTTGCATCTCTAGGGATTGCTGATCTGAGAATAATGGCATTCGGTCTTTAATTATAGAGCCCACTTACTGTTATTAATTGCTAATTCTTGTTTTGCCAAGGGAAAAAAAAAAGCATTACCATCTACTTCCAAGGGGTAGGGATTCTCTGCAATGCCCTCCCCCCACTC